AGCTTTTCAATTAATACAAGCTTACTTTCTTCTTCTGTTCTGTCACTAAGGCTGAAGCACACTCAGCATTTATCTCTGAACTTGTAGTAATTTCAAGATACAAAACATGATTTTTCACAGCACTGCGTATCTGCAGTTCCCAGTGACGGCACTGGAAGCTCAGGGGCATCCCATACTTCTCAACACGAGGCCCTCTATTTTAGAGGGATTAAACATACAGCATGTGCAGCAGTCCCGACAGACCCAGTCTAGACACTAACATGCACAGTCAGTACAGGTGATTGCTCTACCATGCCATTAATTTTCAAGAAAGCAAATCCGTTTTCTCGTTATCCCGATAGCTCTCAAAGACTGAAGAATTGTGCTAAAATTCAAAACGCAACAATGCTGTGCCCAAAAGGCACTACATTGTATTTTAAGATCTGAGTTTACTTCAAGCAAGCTAAGTTATAGTTGCTAAACATCAAGAACTGCCAGCTGCTAGTCCCTCTTTGCAATCCCTGACCACTGTGAGCCTGGAAAGCATGAAATCCTGCTTTAGGACACAGGACATGGAAGGTATTGTGGCTTCCTTTAGATGTCAATTACTCACACGCCTGATGTAAGATCTGACAAATTCTTAAGAGAAGCAAGAAGCATATTCCCAAGATCTCCGCAGGTCTAGCTTTCCACGCACAGTCAGGCAAAAAAGCTCTTTTCACATTCTAGGCCTTTGGCTGTTTGAGCTTTACTTATACAAGTAGGAACTGCAATGGGTTCAAACCCTAGGCCAGAAGTTTTAAGGTTACATAAATTTGACCAGACTTACAGAAAATAAATTTATTAGATCAAGGGCGTAACAGGAGGCAGCACACAAGTTTTCAGGGCGATGAATTCAACTACCAAAGTCAAATATAAACCAAGAACAACTGCTTAGACACCCAGACTACCTTGAGGGAGAAAGCAATTGGCAGAGAACTTGACTGCATCAAGAGCTGGCAAGGTGGTTCTCCCTGCTGATAATGGGGCGTTTGGT